CAAATTAAACTATTTTTACTTCCTCCATCCAACAGCGGTGTGATGACTCGTTTTGTGTGGAGGGTCAGGGCAAGACTCAAAGGTACTAGGAGGGACGGAGGGGGTATAAACAATGTAAAAATGTTTTGCAGATTTTGTTTCTCCACGTTTATTTGTCTTCCACTTTAAGCAGTTACTAAAATTGCATAATTTATCATAATATTTGTTTTTCTGACTGAATTCCAAGTCTCTCAAGTCAAAGACACACTTAGGATTAGGTGTTTGCATGCAGCAGTTTGCTAGTTGTTTTCACAATAATACGGTTTGCATGTCCAAATTATTATTATTTGCATGTTTCTGTAACTAGATTATAATGTTGACATTATAGCGAATCTGTGATGTCGTAACATTTGTCAATTAACAAAGTGCAGGGGACACTAGGTGTGTTTTGCAGGAATTTGGTCCTAAATCAATTTTTTTTACAGGACAAAATGATCATTTAACCCGATGACGGCACTCGCTGATGAATCAAAGTTAGTCCATCCTATGGGGACCATGATTTCTTTTGTTTTTACTAAATTTCACAGCAATCCATCCAACTAAAAAAGGATAAATCCAGTGTTTGTTGAAATGTGTCAATACAAAATGTAACTTTCAACCTTGTGGCGACTCTAGAGTCGAAGTCTTCAGGAGTTATCCTTTGGGGACTATGAATGTTTGCACAAACTTTCAGGTCGATCCATCCATTAGTTGTTGAGATATTTCTGGATCAAAGGGTTCTTATATGAGAACCTTATGGGATGGTAATGACTGTTCCAGGTATTATTAAACCATGAGGGTTACCAGAGAACAGAGTGAATGGCTTGTGGAAAACTTGTTTTTAGTTGCAAAACTCCTGAAAATATGAATTAATGGTCTTCATTTGTTTTCTTAGACAGGTGACCATGGTATAAGCGGGTTAATGCCCTTTAAGGTGTCTATGATCAGGAATTAATAGCTCTACAACCGCGTGGTCCATTGATTCCTGATTATGGACACCTCGTTGGGTATTATCCCACGCTTACACCTTGTATGGATGTCACAACTAGAGTTGCACTGTATGTATACAATAACCTCAGACATCCTAATAAAAGAAGTGAAGCAGGAGTCTGTGATTTATTTTTTAGATGAGTGAATTATGCGGTCCAGCACAGTCTCATTCGAAGCAGAGGCACAGCTCATTGGTACTGAAACAGGATAGTGCAATATGTCTCCTACAATATTAAGACTGGAGTACAACTACATTTGGTATTTACTGCTATACAAAGAGGTGTTTGTTAATTCTATCCTTTGCTTTTTAAATAAGTGCTTGAAGGGTTTTTTAAGCCATGGTTGTTATTACTTACATACAATAATATGGGATTGCATAGCTTCAATCTTTTTTTTCTCTAGCTCTTTTCTCTTTCATCTGTCTCACTTTTTGTTACAGTTCTTGTCCAATTCATTTCAGCTTGTTGAATTCTCCTTGTTTACTTGAATGACAGAACATTCAGTGGCTCACACTCTCACCTTTCCTAAACTTAGAAAGCCTTTTTTATCATATTTTAAAATCCAAGTGATCTCTGAATCCATCGTCTTTCTGTCTGAGGGCAATAATTATGCCTCTGGGGTCGAGGGGTTTATATTTCAGGGGATCTGGCGTAGCCAGCGGATATCTGGGCCAAGTCTTCCTTTTCTCCCTGCGCTGCTCATGTTTTACAGTTTTAGCATCTTGAGATGTGAGACTGGCGTTGGAGTTGAGAGACGACGTACAAGTAGCCACTTTACAAACTGATTTCAAGCCAATTAAAAGCTAAAGCATCGTCTCATACAATAGCCCGTGGGTTCCCAGATTGCAGTTAAGTTGTATCGTTTTTCTACAAAATAAATAAAGAATGTGAGAAAAATCTAAACTCTACTACTTTTTTTTCCGCCACTAATGAGCAATGAGGTTAAAGCCAACCCAATAACACTGCCTGGTCCAGCTGTTTAGGTTAAAATGGCATATACGTGTGCAGAACAATTTGTGGGATTTTGGATTATTAGCAACATAACAACAAAAAAATAAAAAGGAAAATAGTTCAAAATGATATGACAATTCAACCAAAATGTATTTTTGATGAAGGAAGAGGCAAAAATCATTATAAGTCAAAAATGAAGTGCACACAGAGACGACTTGTCCAAAGAGAAAAGACACAAACACCCATCCTCACACTCTCCCTTCTCAGACCCTCACGTATCCCTTTATTCACTTCCCTCCACTTTCCCCATCAGACTCTCTGGTTCAGGTTGTATCATCACCTGCAGCCATTCACAGGTACACGGTTCAAGTGCAGAGCAGTCAGTGTGGTTTTCATATCAGACAAAATCACAGTGAAGTTTGAATTTTGTCTAAAAGAGCTGAACAACATGAGAACAGACAAATGTTTTGAGTCAGACCACTTTTAAAACCTACAGCTGCTCTGACCTCCATGTCTGTGTCAATGTTGCCATCTGGTGGAGAGAAGTTAGAGCAACACATGCCATCTCAGCTAATTTTAATTTTCAGATGAATGAAACATGCAGAAATATATGGAAGCCCATTTCCACAGCCAAAAAAAAAAAAAGGTAACTAAAAAAAGAAATCCACCCCCCGAAAAAAAAAAGAAAAAGATTAAAATGTGTTTTTTTGCTGGTGGAAAAAAGGGAAAAAAATGATTATTTTAATTTGTTTTACTTTTTTTCTGCCAAAAAAAAAAAAGTTACAGTTGCTGTTTATTGAAGGTCGCCACCTCAGCCACATTGGTTTCATTCTTTATACTCCAGAGCTGCTTCTTGCTTAAAATTCTATTCAAGGGTGTTTGCTCAGTCCATGTGAAACAGCAAGCAATTTAAGTATTTCATCTGTTGTAAAGCCACGTTTAATGAAGTCTTCAATGTACTCACAATCCATTTATATGTCAAATGTAGGGTAACCTATGAAGAGCTACTTCTATGACTCATAATTTCGACTTTCTATCTCATAATTTCGACTTTCTATAGCAACTGGAAACATCTGGTCAGTGTTATGGTTACAGATGGATGCACCAAAAATCCTGTTTTTTTATGTTGGTGGAAAAAAAAATAAAACAATTTAAATCCACCCCAAAAAAAAAAAGAATTCTAATTATTATATTTTTTATGCTGGTGGAAAAAATGTAAAAAAAAATTTAAATACACCCAAAAAAAAAAAATAATTCTAATTATTATTATTATTATTATGCAGGTGGAAAAAAGGTAAAAAAAAAAATAAATAAAAAGAATCCACCCAAAAAAAGAAAATTCTAATTATTATTATTATTTTTTATGCTAGTGGAAAAAAAGGTAAAAATTAATAAATCCACCCAAAAAAAAAATTTTTCTAAATATTATTGTTTTTATGCTGGTGGAAAAAAGGTAAAAATAAATAAAAAATAAATAAATAAATCCACCCAAAAAAAAAAGAATTCTAATTGAAGAAAAATGGTAATAGAAAATTAATAAATAAATCCACCCAAAAAAAAAAAGAATTCGAATTATTATAATTTTTTATGCTGGTGGAAAATTAAAAAAAAATATTTTTTTTAATCCACCCAAAATAAAAAATAAATAAATAAATCCACCCAAAAAAAAAAATTCTAATTATTATTTTTTTTTTTATATATATATTTTTTTTAAATCTAATCTTTTACATTTTTTCCGCCAGCAAAAAAAATAAATAATTAGAATTCTTTTTTTTTTTTGGTGACTTTCTTTTTTTTTATGCTGGTGGAAATGGGCTTCCATACGTATACTACACTGCAGGTTTAGGTCTATATGTTTTGAGGAGTAGCAATGTATGACACAGATTGTGGAGGAATTGTGTCAAACTGGTATTTACATAATTTATATGTGGGGATAAACAATGAATATGTGACAAACATTTTATGTTTCCTTAGCTACCGAGGCTACGAGAGGGAGACCTTGCACTTATTATCCAGAAATGAAACGCTCCTCCGAGCAGGCGAGAGAACAGGGAGACTGACGTATTGAATTAGATTTGATGTGGAACTGGAGAGATAGAGATTAACTAAAATGTCAAGCTGGAGAGAGTGATCTTGTTTTCAGGACTCAATGAAGCTTATTGAATTTAGCCAAACAGTACAATGTGTAAACATTTGATTATTTCAGCTAAGAATGTAGTTTTTCATCATTTAGGGCCATCTCTTGGGTAGCTTTAGGATTAGGTTTTGACAACCACTGTGCTGTAAATCACTGGCTCACTGTCCAAACGGTATGAACTAGGTCAGCCATGTCAGTATGTTCGACCAGAAAATAGAACACACATTTTGCTCACTGTCTCTCGGTTTTATTCATTGTATTCTTTTACATTGTCTGCATATTTAGTTAAGATAAATAAAATCATTAAAATGAGTTCCTCACTGCAACTGTTCCATAAATGAACTCCCTTCACTGTTCTTTTTACACATTTGGTCTTACCCTTTTCATTTCACACATTTGTTTTCAAGAAATAATGTCTGTCTCTTACAGTAGGTGCTCTACTTCTTACTTTAGACTTTAGTTGTTAGTTGACTGACTGTTATTATGATGTGTCCTAATCTACTGTAAGCTTTAAAAAGCCTAACACATTTACCCACTATTATTGTCTGTTCTACATGTCTTTAATTGGAAACATTAATTAAAGGTCTGGAATACTTTAACAGCTGACTTCCTGATTTCATTTTAATTTCCCAGTTATCTTGCCCTCAAAACATTTTGTAATAATGTGCATACTTTAATTTAGCTTCCTAGATAGACTAAACACGCATGTATGTGGTAATTACTTACTGAAAGTGTTTTTATTTTAATTTTTCATGTCTGTACCAGAGGTGTTGGTATCTGTTTTTATACACGAGTGATGCCTCTTTATCACGACACACAATCTTCGGCCTTTTCCGGTTTAGCTTTTACGTTCTACGTCATGACGTCATAAACTGGGCGTTGGGCGGACCGTTTGCTTCGGAGGAGGGAGGGCACCGCTCGTTAAACGTCTGTCAAGCTCCAACAGTTTGCTATCACCCAGTCAGTGTAAGTGTGAAATGTACATTTCTTTTTAGTTAGCTTTTTTTTTTTCTTTCCGTTCCGGTAGTTTAACCGTCAGTTTGCGCCTCTGTGCAGCGAGGAAGAGCTGTTAAAGAGTGTCGATGTAGACATCTCACCGACACTCTTTAACAGCTCTGTGTGCAATGACACACACTGTCAACCTGAGTCCGTTATCGGACAACACTGACCGGCACTCAACGAACATTTCAACGGTTGGTTTTTTGGGGTTTCTTCGTTTTTTTTTTTATCCCTTTAGACACATCGCTTCACGCAATTTCACAACGTGCAGGACGACTCGTCTGTTTGTTATTTAACGCTTTATAGCGCTTAAAAGTACGCTTGTTACTCAACTTATCTTTCGTAACGGTCGCTATATTTCATCTCCCGTGACGTCATCGTAGCGCGTTCACATGCGGGTGTTTTGCTGCAGTAGCTATTTAAATTTTTTTTATTTATTTATTTATTTTTTATTTTTTTGTACAATTTTGTAGAATTTTGTATTGATCTACAACAGGTTTGTATCGTTGCTGTGTATAGTAGGAAATACATAGTAAAAACATGTATTTATTTATATCTGGAAATGTATTTATTAACTTTGCTATAGCTAGTTATGGACTCTGGTGAATTAAAGTTGTGTGTAGCTTGTTTTTTTTCCAGTTAATTCTTCAAACTTTGCTTTGCTTTACTAAGATGCTTCCATAGTAATCTTGTCTCTTATGATATTAACCAGGGCCCTGCCAATTTCACCCTACTACAAGTTTTAATAAACCTTCAGCAGCGTTTATTTCAGTCTCCACTGGCTAATGCAATCTGATGGGCTAAATACATTTGACATCTGCAGCCTCATTACATCTGATGCCTGGTATGCTTCACAGAGGAGCAATTTCTTTTCTTTTTTCCCGCAACCTATTATCAGTGTCCTGGACCCACACACTGACAGACTCCCACACACCGGCAGGAGAAACAGAGTATAATGTGCCAAGAGAAGCATGTAGAGGCTCACGGTTTTCATCTCACTCTTTCTTCTTCTTTCCTTGTAGACCTGTGGGCCTGATGGAGCAGGTTGTCGTCTCCTCTGCAATGAAGGAAATCCACTCCAGCGTCGTGACTATGGACTGAAGGTTTGCTTTTCCCCCACTTGCTCATCTATTCTGAGTGTTTCCATCTCCGGTTAGACCATAATTCAATACGATAATGTACCGTCTTTCAGTGGAATCGTATCGTGATACACAATTACGTCGTCTAAATTGATAATAACAAGCACATACTAACTTGAATATCTCATAAAAGTCTCATCAATCTTTTAAACGGATTACTCCGTGTTTGTGTGCATGCGTGTAGACATAGTCAGAGTATAGCTTGAAATATTTCTTTATTTTGTCTTTTAAAATTCCACTTTAAACTGTAGTGTTCATTTTGCACTATAATAATACGTACTTTTTATTTGTCATCTATTGAATTCACACAGAAGTATACAAAAATAGGCTTTATTTATTTATTGAACTACCAGAAAACGAGAGTCATCGAGATATGACATGAATTATATCGGGATGGAGGATTCTGGCCGTATCATACCAGCACTAACTGGCCATTTTTGCTAACTTGACACTGCACTGCACGTACAGTATGTGTGTGTGTATGTATGTATATATGTATGTATATATGTGTATGTATATGTGTATATATATGTATGTGTGTATATATATATATATATATATATATATATCCGGTATGACATGATGTATCCCACTATCTTCAGCATACTCTGCTAAGTGGCTGAGAGCTTGGCTGCCCCTTCAGGGCTCTGCTGACGCAACCATTCATGTCTCACTCCGACAGTCAGACCACCACGATGACGCTTCCCTCCTCCTCCTCCTCCCGCTGCACTCACGTTATGCCTTCCCGGTTGTGAGCCGAGCTGAGAATTGAGAATCTTTGTACGGGTGCAATGTGTTTATGTGTGTGTGTGTGTGTTTGCGTGTGCGGTGCTTACAAAACAGAACTCAGTGGTCCCTAAAGATGGAGTTCCCTCTTCCTCTGACTTGTGATCAGCTTCATGTAACACTTCGGCATCGGACGTGGTGAAGATGTGCTTATCCTAGATCAGATCACAAGATTAACGCAGCTCTCTCTCTCTGTGTGTGTGTGTGCCTGACTGTCACAGGGGCTGATTAATTGGCTGTAGAGGGGAGCTGGAATTTCTCTCAACAGAGCTGCACACTGACACTGGATTAGAAAGATGACCTGAAGTAGATTATAGTTAAAGGTATACATGTGATGCTTTCATGTGTTAACCAAATTGGTAGAGACTTCTATTGTAGAGACTTAAGATGTTTTGATGGGTAAAGAAAGTAAGACGTGTGTCTATTTGGCAATTTAGTGTTTGGCTGTGATAGATAAAGCAATGAGATTGTTAAGTGAAATGTCGTGCATTACGTTCTGCATGCCAGAAGTATTGTTTTTACTGCATTAACATATTGTTTATGAATTTGTAGTGTTTGGTTACATCTCCTTTGGGTGCTCCCATTTCATAGTTCAAAGCGGTTCGGTGAACTGGCCTCTAAATTGTCTGTGGATGTGAGCGTGAATGTCACTGTGTTTGTGGATTTGTCCGCCCACACTGTGACAGACCGTTTCCAGAACGTACTAGACTTCCCACACAATGTGTGCCAATGCGAAGGCTTCAGCTCCCTGCACCCCTGAATAGCATGATAGAAGATGGGGGAATAGATGCTTTATTTGGTGTTACTGTTACAGAATATGTGACCACGTTTAATAATTCAATAAGGAAAAGGAAACATTGAGGAGAAACAAACGCATTTCTCTTGTTTTCGTCCTTATGCATGGTTGCTCTGCTCTGCTGCAGATTAAAAACATGATGTGTGTTGTAGCGAGAGACGTATACGGCAAAGACCTGAGCGGAGTTCTTGGCAGCGGTGCAGTACCTCCGGCGGTGTTTGAGACCGGGAAGCTGGTCAATGTTTCATGTCTTTGTTGCTGCGCCACAGTCCTTCTGGTTGGTGAGGGCACCTGAACGGATGTGTGCGACTCAGGAGGCACGCTGTGCACATCCAGGTCCGACCGGTGGCATTGGCCACAGAACTAAAGGAAGCTGTGGGTGAAATGGGGGTGAACATAACGTAGCACTTATCAGCTAAATGGTAAACGGCCTTGTATTTATAAGGCGCCTTTCTAGCCTTCAGAAAACTCAAAGCACTACACTACATGTCAGCATTTACCCGTTCTCACTCACTCACACACACACACACACACACACACACACACTCACACACACACACTGATTTCACAGCCTTTTTTGGGTTCAGTATCTTGCCCAAGGACACTTCGACATGCGGACAGGAGGAGCTGGATCTCCTGATTAGTGGACTAATTCAGATTCAGTTTCTCCTTCAGTTCTTTTGGAGTTCAAACAGTCTCAGCATCATTCAGGCAGAACTGAGTTGGCTCTGTTTTCTCCACTAAAGGTCAGCCGTGGCTAAAGAGGAAGTGTTGTATCTCAGAGAGGAAACACACTTTTTCCTTTTTCCCTCTCTCGCTCTCTCACTCTCTCTCTCACCCTCTCTCTCACGTCGTCCCTCCTCCAGCAGGGCTTTACTGTGAGGTGTCATAGTGGCAGCTTAATGCCACAGCCGGAATCATTCTTTACCTCTGCTGCAATCAGAGTTGTTTTCAAACCAATGCCATTAAGAAACATTTACAAGTAAGAAGCCGTACCATCCTACATATCTTGTAACTGTGGACAGAGTGGGCTCATTCTTTCCAGCAGGACTTCCAGAATGAAGGTGACATTCCTTTATGAGAGCTGTGGTTTCTATTGGCAGCAAGCTGCCTGCTCCTCTCTTATCCCTCCATGTTTGAAGACAGAGGCAGAAAAGAAGCAAGGGTCACACAGCGTCTCAAGAGTTTCACCACAAAATAGGACTGAGGTCCATTTTATTCTTTGCCTTTTGCATTGAACTGCATCATTTCGATCGCCCCTTTGTTTCAGTTTGTTTACTTCTTCTTATCTTTTGTTGGCGGGCTTTAGATGAAGTTTGAAACTCATGATTAATACCTTCTTTCAACTTGAATCCTCCCCCAGAGCGTATAGACTTGACATCGTTGACCCACAGCCTTCGCGTTGAGCCCGATGTCTCACTCATAGTAAGAGCTTTTAGACCAGAGCTTGGATGTGCTGATCCCCGCTAAGCCCCCCAGTGGGCTGCAGAGGTGCCTGGTTACCTGAGCTCAGAGATCTGACTGAAGAGTTATTTAAATAGGTGACGATGCGGATGATTTATATCTGACTGCGTAAAAGTTGTTCTCACCTGCTGGCTCCACAAAGAGCCAGATGCCCCCTGGCCCGATAACCTGGCCGGGTTCTCTTCTGTGTTGTGTTGACCCTGACTTGCATTCCCTTTTTCTCATTACGGTCGTGCTCCTTCAATCTCAAACCACAATCTCTGGTTTGAGATTTCAGCCGGTGTGTAGGTGGTTTCCAGCCCGTTGACAGGTGATGATTCCTTGCCAGAGCTGGTGGAACCTGAGCTGTGTTGGCCCAGTCGGCCTAGCCACTGTTGAACACCTATCAGGTTAATACGTGAGGCTTAAAATGTATCACATACGCTAATAACTTCCACTGGGAACCCTCCTTTGAGGACATCCGTCTTACTAGTAAACAGCAAGGGAACGAGATCCTCACTACCAACTCTCTCCATCAGCTCAGACACATTCGAGCTGGACCAGGGTCAGTTCCATGCACATGGTGAATTATTCACCGGGACACTTGCTGTGGTGTTGAGCACAGATGCAGAGACGTGCCTTTAAACAAGGTTTAAACCTATAGCCCCAGCCGGCCGTCAGTGATGTTTGACTTCACCGCGCTGCTTCATAGATTTGTTCGCTGTTCAAGCTAAACCTCAGAGGTACTTACAGCCTTGTGCATCCGTAATAGATCATCAACATAATATGTCCTCTGTGGAGATGAAATTAAATGTGTAAAGTCTCTCTGTTGCTTTGTCTCTGCAGCTTCCCACCTCAAAGTTTGGGTAGTCTTAGATGACTCAGACTTTTTTCACACCCAATATATCACTTCTTGTTCCGTTTGTGTGTGTGTGTGTGTGTGTGTGTGTGTGTGTGTGTGTGTGCGCGCTGAGTATACGTGCACATGTGTGTTTCCATTAGTTGTTTTGTGATGAACATGTTGTGTTTGTTTCTCACAGCGTTGTGAGTGGGGGAGGTAATGAGAGGTGTAGTTACAGATGGTCTCCGGTTGCCTGAGAGATGAAATAATGGCAGAAATATTAAGCCGAGTAAGGCAGGCTTCCACGTCCATAGTGGTCCCGTATATTCAAGATTAAAGGAGCATTATACGACGTTCAGAGCAATAGTATATCAGCAAACGACTATTTGCTGTGTAAAGATATATAGTGGAGTAATGTCTCCCTCTGAGTGTTGTCATTTTTCAGCTTGTCCTTGCTTTGTTGACACAGCCTGGCCGGCCGTGCGTGCTTTTAGTGCACGTCTTCGTGGAATCGTAGCACCTACCCTCTGGTTCCCCCTCAGGTAAACACCGTCAGCTCTGTTATTACATTTGCAGTAGTTGGTACTGTTAGCGCTGTTAGCACCGTTAGCTTTGAGCCACCTAGGAGAAGTTTGCCTTCAGCTCTTTCTGCCACAAATCTCCCTCGGTTTAGGCAACGAACCTACTTGGCTAGGTTTAGGAAAATATCATGGTTTGGGTTAAATTAAACACTTTCTGGCAGAAAGCCCTGAAGGCCAACTTCTCCCATGTACCACCGGCTCATCCGTCTCCATGTTGAGAGCCTTTGAGGGGAAATGCTTCCAAAGTCGTATGTTGTTCCTGTATGAATGTGTTCAGATCAGTTTAACACAGATACCAGGTGTGAATCGGGCCCCAACAATAGTCTTCTTGTCAGCCGTACAAGCAGGTAATATTTTTCACACGTCAACTTTTGAGTACAAGTCTGTGGTGTCATTAAGAAAACCCAGATATATGGATGTGTGTAGGAGTAAATGATTGCGTGTGTTCTGGTTTGTCTTGTTCCTGGAAAGCTGAAGGCAACTCTGGCAGCGGGGCCTCCCTGTGGGTGTCATCTTGCACAATAGGGCATTGTGGCCGCCTCTATCAGGGAACTACCTTCCATTCACCTCCTCATTCATTCAGCTCTCTGTGCCGAGCGCCCCGGCTGAACCCGACACGGCCAGGCGAACCGCTCCGTGGACGGGATGCCTTTGAGCCAGTCTGGCCTGTTTCACGCCCTCTGTGGCCCTCCGTCTCTCTCCTCTCACTCGCTCGCTCTCCCCGTCTCATACAAAGAGTTGTGTCTCTTATCACACTCTTTGCAGAATGCTGAAGTCATCTCCTGCACTGTCAGAGCTGACACAACTGTGCTATTCTCTGCCCGCCCTACACACACACACACACACACACACACACACGCACACACACACACACGTATAATACAATAACGATTGTTCCTGCTTCCTGCCTATGCTGTCATTATGCAGCTGCTGAATGAGATATGGTCCGGTTTTCATCGGTCAAAGACGGCTCACACAAACGCGTAAACGTATGTACACAGATGCACATTTCCATGCAAAATAATTCCGACAATTTCTCTCTTACTCTCCTTTTTCTGTCTTTGTCCGATTAAAAACACACTCGCACGCATATTCGTGCATGCGCTCGCACACGAGCGTCGCTGCCAGAACTCTCTGGCCTAATTCCCCTCTTATTGATGTGTGTCTGTCAGTGAAAGAGGCGCAGCACAAAGAGCAGCGACGGGCCTGTGTGTGGCTCCGAGCGAACAAAGAGGAGTCTATTCCACGCCGGCTCTCAGACTCCCCTGGAAACACTGCATGGGCTTGTTTAAGCTATGGCCATATTTTGAGTTAAGCTACTGTATGTTCAGCAATGAGCAACAACATGGATGCTTCAGTGGCAAAGAGCACGGGCCAGATGGACCCCCACTTGTGTTGGTTAATGCCCAGTTGTCCAACTTTACTTATGTCGAGAGTAGAATTAAATAAAACAGTCAAAAAGGGATGGCGATCAGGTCATTGTGCAGTACTGTAACTATGGTGGAAATTTGCATGAAAAGACATAAATGACCTCCCGTTGTGCTAGATTGCACATTATTTGCTTCATCACTTAGCTAGTTGAGCTGTAACTCTGGGGCTTAATCTCCTCTTTAATAATCACCTTTGGTTGTTGTCTTTGTTCAATAATGATAATGGATGTCATTTCAGAACACCTCAGTGCCACATCTTAATCAATATAACCTTTCAGTCTGAACGGAGCTGCAGTAGTTCTCTATCCACAGGGCTAAAGGGAACATTTCCTGTTAGCTGTGATGTTGTAATTTGTTGTTAAACACTTGCAGTTAACACTTATTATTCATCACCGTACTGAATCTTGGATCTATTCTGTTAAAGACGTGCTCCAAACGATTTTGCGGGGGGGAGCATTTCACCTTCTCCCACCCTCCTCTTCCTCCTAAAGTACATGTAACAAACCTTGCAATGTCCTCAAAAATGTTAAGCAAACTTTCCATTCTTCCATTCTTGCCTCATCTCATAGCTGTAATGCCAAGTGGTTACGGTATAGTGTTTGACACAACATCATAAATGTTACTTCTTCACATGCTGTTGATAATATTTGTTACTTTTTGAATGTTTTAAACAGAACTTCTTGCCATATCTTACACGTTGCACCTTTTGATTCTCACATGCTTGTCACCAAGTGACAAATTGTCAGCTTGAGATGTTTATTATGCCGGCGACAGCCGAGGCCGGAGGATTTATGGTTTTGGGTTGTCTGTCCGTAATTACGTCTGCAAGTCCGTCCATCTGGTCCATTCTCTGGAATGTGATACCTCAGGAACGCCTGGAGGGTATTTCTTCATATTTGGCACAAACATCCATCTGTACTCAAAGATTAAGTGATTAGAATTTTGGTGGTCAACGGTCAAGATCACTCTGAACTCACGTTCGACCTCACGTCCGTCCCATACTCGAGATATCTATAGAACACCTTGAGCGAATAAAATGGTGAAAAGATGACATTTTAGGCTTACATGGACGTCAACACAACATGATGAGGCGGTAGTTCTAGTTGGTCCAGCCAGCCAGTGCCTGAGCTCTGCTCAGCTTTCACCGTCTCTCCAAAGACAATGGACGACTGGCAGCGCGCTGAATGGAATGAGGCACAGAGCTGAGGACGAGGACATATGTGTTTTGTGTGTGTGTGTGTGTGTGTGTGCGTGTGTGTGCATTTATACAAGGACACGTGTGAGGGAGACACAGCTCCAGAGAGGCCATTGTCCATGTGGTTGTCTGTAATTCACCTTTGACAGTATTGTGCCGTTTCTGAGAAACATGCTGACTCACTGAGGTTGCCCATCCCGGCTGTCACTGATGCCTGATAATCGCTGACCACTGTTTCTGCGGCTTAAATACACCAAAAGACATCCACACACTGGCATGTTTCTGATGAGTGAAGGGAGAATGTCCCTAAGAGGATCACCAAAGTATTGCGTCTTTGTTTAATTTGACATTTTTTGTTTAGAGGGGAAAAATATTTCTTGCTTTAAGTTTAAGTATTTTTTCTTAAATACAGTCGTCATTCAGAGATCCATCTGGTGTTCTTTTGCGTCATCACCTCATCAAGGTGGAACCAAAGGCCTTTGCCTAAATTAAACAAAGACGCAGGACCTGTCACGCGTACACAAACATCCCCTACCAAGTCCGACAATAAACCGTTGTCCTCTAAAGGCTCCTGAAAGAGGATTTAGTTTGAATATAAAACCAGAGGCAATCAAGAAAACGTCCAATCCAGTGCTGGGATCATCCTGTGGATGAAGGAGGGGATTTAGAGACACAGAGGGAGGGATGGGCCCGGGGTCGGTGCAGGGCTTCAGCTCCAGGACAGGATTAACTAAGGTTTACCAGCGACGAAACAACAGCACAGAGCTCCATCGCAATCAATTACACTTCACTGTGACTGCCAGAATATGCCACTAAGTGTGAGGGTGCATGCATAATCAAGTATACTTGATTATGATACACATGTATGCATGACTCTCCACCTTCTATGATCATACGGGAAGTTCACATCGCAGTCATCATATGTTGTCTTTTAGTTTTTACTTATTCCTACAGGAAAGAAGAGAGAGAGAAAAATAACTAAAATTAGATTAAATCAAAGGTATAAAGAAATTGCTCACTCATGTTAAATAAGAGTGTTTGCATTGCATTGCTCTCAATGGTAACATTGATTTTAGAGATATTTAGAGATGGATCTAGTTGAGCATGAACAGAATTGTGTATTATAACTTCCTGTCATTATTTCATCATGATGAATTGTATTTTTACTGAAGAAATTGTTAAAATATGATCAGTCACTGCCCAGCTGTTATCAGTGAAACCACCGGGTTAAAGCTGTGTTGTTAATATTATGGAAGGTTGACCGCACAGTATCTTCACTCATCTTATTGGTGCAACCAAATGAGCACACTGCCTCTAAATTAAGCACATCAGTATCTGCTGGTCTGAATCTGCCTGTTGAGCAGAAAAGATTAAACCAGATCTGATTCAAGATCAGCTTGTGGAGGAAGTAAAAGCTGGCGTGCGAATGTGTTGATGCGCATGAATGCGCCTCTTCTTGGCAGTGACAGCGTCGCCGTTGTGATTAGCGATATGCTAACTGCGAGCACCTTCATGCTCATTCTCCTTCTGTTTCCGGACGCAGTGATGAGACGTGTGTGTGTGTGTGTGTGTGTGTGTGTGTGTGTCCAACTTTGTGTTCTTCTTCATGACCTGACAGTGCAGCTGAAGGAATATAGTTTGAGTGTTCATCCCCAGGGCTCCCAATGTTCCTGCCTCGCTTGTTTTGCTGCTCTCAATGGGAGCAGCTATTGATGCTGCAGGGAGGCTCTGTCTGTCTGTCTCTGTCTGTCTCTGTCAGTCTGCCTGTCTCAGTCTGTCTGTCTGTCTCTCTGTCTGTCTCTGAGGCGATCACTGTTCCACCAATAAGGTTCCTCCTTGAGGAAGACAGCCTGTATGTCATCAGGTGTCCGCTCTGGTTTTGTCTCTAGCTTAGAGTCAGCAAGGTTGACACTGTGTTAGTGACAACGAAGGTTGTTTCTAGTGCGTCTTGATCCCGCCACAGGAAGAGGAAGGGTTGCCTTTGGGGATACTAAATGAGCCCCTGAAGGAACATGCACACTGAGTCGTATCACACAATACAGCACATGTTCTGTTCAGTATGCCCAGCGTGTTCACAGCTCACAGAAAAAAATGATTTTCGATTGCAAAACCGAATGATATGCCAGATTGTTTGAGTATCTTAAGGTCATTGGAGATTGAAGAATGATCTTAAGAATGACAGCTTTTCTTTCTTTGGTCTCCTTCCATCCATCACCTCCCTCTCAGGTAATCCAGAGTGAGTCACGCTGACAGTTGGGCTGATGGTAAGTGGGTTTTTTTTCTTCTTCTTCTGACGTGAGTCATTATTTCTCTTCCCCGCTCTCACCCCTCCAGTGTTCTCTGCATCCTTTCCTTTACTCTACCAGCCTCTGGTGCCTTTCTGACTCCGCCCCACTTCAGGCTGTTGTTTATTTTCTTACCCTTCATGTACCTGCTTATACTTTTGAATTAATTCATGCTTTGTGTTGTGATCCTGGAGCAAACCTGGATCCATCTTCTTTTTCTTTTAATACTTTGTATTTGCTCATGAAACGTTGGTCTGTTTGAATGTAGAATGATTCAAGGGCCTGGCACAGCTGTCACTGATGATACAGTATTTATCCTAAAATATTTTTAAATCACAATCGCATATTTATTTTGGTCAGTGTGCAAAATTCCCATACTCAATGCTAGAGTATTATGCTGACGTCGTACGCAGACTCAATACGCAACAAGATTTAATGGATGCGAGCCAATCGACTAGGACACCAAGGCTAATATCGTTAACAAGAAGCCCGCTCACACAACCACAATGAATCCACTCAGCACACTCGCCTCTCTCTAACCCGACACACAGACCTTGGCTCGGCTTGTTGCCGTCCTAATCCAAGAAGAAGAGAGGCGATGTCCCGCTTTAGTCCAGGTTCTCACGCATTGGATCAAATTTGTCCACCGGGGTCCGTTTAGGACCACAAACAGAAGTGAAGACTGACTCTCTTTTCGCTCAACCTGTTGGGTCTCAGGCTGACTGTGTCATATTTGTGGATCAATGTTTTGCAATTTGATGAATGAATACTGCTGCACACAGTAAGCTTTTAAAAGACATTTTTAGTGCCAATTGCAAGAGAGTCTCAAGTGTCAAACAAGGTATTTTGCACACTGACTTTGGTACCTAGATGCAGATGAATGCTGTTTACCCCGCAGACTATGCAAGTATGCATTCACACTTTCGACCATTTGCATTATATTTCAAAGAAGCAAATGTCACGAGTTAAAAGGAAAATGAGTGATTTAATTTCACTGGATCTACGCAACATTCCATCCTCTCATAATCCATCTCCTCTTTCTGTCTGTGCTAGACCGGCAGGCCTACTTGTTCCTGAATCAAAGATGCATGCTCCCAATTTGGATTCATCCCTCTGACCGCCACTGAGCCGATCCAACCCTCCACCAGACAGTCCCATCTCCACTTCCGCTGTTCTCTACTGTACTCTGCTGTTTTCTAGTCCTCTCTGCTTCAGTCGTTGTCCTGGTCTGACCCCCTGCGTGTCCCACTGATAGAGAGGGACGTGTTTGCTGACCGCTTGATAGGACAATTCCTCCCTCAGCAGGGCCACATGCAGCAGGGCGATGACACTCAAAGGGAGCCAGAGGGGGTGGGCCCCAGTTCAGGTCCTGGAACTAGAAGAGAGGCAGGGGGGTCAGGGGCCTCATCCCAGTCAGAGCACCCCTCCTTCAGTAAGATGAGCCAAAACGCTAGGGAGAGCATAGGGGTTCTTGGCCAGGGACTGAAACAGCTGTTCCAGCAGCAGCGTAAACGCCTCTACCCCTCTCACTCCACCATCCCCTCTTCGTCTTCCTCCTCCTCGTCTTCTTCTGTAGTGTCGGCAGGTGGCCCCTCCCCCTCAGAGGAAGCCTTGGAGCCCTGCTGTCCCGACTTTGACCACCTCTCTGCTCCTGTGGTTCCCTCTGCAGCTGGCCGGGGCTCAGGCACCGCGGGCACGATGAGGCGTGGGACCAGCCTGCAGAGTCGGCGCAGCAAAGGGTCGGGATCTGGGAACGGAGACCGGGATCCTCTCCTGAGAGGTAGCCCCCAGGCCCCGCACCGCCGCTACACCCACGATCCGCAGCAGCACGTCAGCCGCCCGCGCTCCTCCTCCACCACTGACACCACGCCCAGCAGCCCCATACCCGGGTACACTGGAGGCGATGTGGTGCTGTCATCGGGGTACCAGTCCACGGAGGAGACGGACAGGGTAAGTGATGGCAGCCGTGAATCTGCTGATCGATGCGTCTCCTTTACCCTTTTACCGGTGTCAGGCCTTCAATCACGAACTGAGGTTCACCTTGCTGCTGATGTCATTCCCTTCTGTATCAGAGAGAAGGTATACTGCTGTCTGTCATAGATCCATGGTGCAGCTTGCTAATGAGACACGCCAGCATGAGCACACGTATAGATTCACAATAAACTAATGCACAGCGGTGCAGGCAATTTTCAGGATAGGTTCACAACTTTTTAAAGTCGGTGTTAAAGAACAGTCGGCCATATCAACATTAAAACTAATTTTCCCCGCTTTACACATTCCTCCTATTCACACCGGCCTTGTGTTACCATCCCTTCACTGCAGCTCAGCACTGTGACACTGTCTGCAGAAACAAGGAAGGAATGTTGTGCTAAAACGATTAAGTTTGGAAGATATTTACTGACTCAGACTTCTGAAACATTGTGAATCCGACCTTTAAAAGCAAATATACTCTTTGAATAGTTTTGCCTCAGGCTTACAATAAATGCTGCAATATATCAAGGGGCTTTCAAAATCCAATCTTTTGTAGTGTGCTTTGATAATCATCTATTTGTGTAGTACGTATGAAGTCATATAACTGTTTTGTGAAAAGTTCTGCCTTTTTTGTTAGACCGTAGTTTGTTAAATCCAGAGAATTTATTAAAAGTAGTATTTACGGGGTGCTTGTGTAATGGGAAATACTCAGCATAGATTTGTATGTGTGTCGCTCTTGGTTTGTTAAAACCTCACAGCCCTTTACAATCTACTCTTTTACCTCAAGTTCATATTTTGAGCCTCCCCACCAGCAGACTTCAGTTGGTCCTGTCTGCCACCAGAGGTCACTGTCCGATCAGCTAACCTGCTGTGAGCAGCACTGGGCTTGGTTCATGTGGAGGTTGTGTTTGCATTGTGAGCTCATGATTGCTGCGGAGCCGACTGATCTTTTGGCTTAATGAAATGAGCTGTGCCAAAAGACTCTGTATCGGTGTGTCACAGATGGAGTGATGCGTGGCTATCACTTCAGCAGTGGGAAGTAAGTCTAGACCAGTAGGCGTTAATATCCAATTTCCCTGACAGCTTCTATCTGTGAGCTACATTTAGAACACACCATCCCCCCCTTTCTTCATCCTCCAGTCGTATGCGAGTGACCTCACCTGGGATGACGGACATCTGTGCTCCGTCAGTCCTGCTGCTGAGACAGACCACCATCAACCACGATAACCTGTCTCACCCGTCTCTAGCTATCAACCACGATAACCTGTCTCGCCCGTCTCTAGCTATCAACCACGATAACCTGTCTCGCCCGTCTCCAGCTATCAACCACGATAACCTGTCTCGCCCGTCTCCAGCTATCAACCACGATAACCTGTCTCGCCCGTCTCCAGCTATCAACCACGATAACCTGTCTCGCCCGTCTCCAGCTATCAACCACGATAACCTGTCTC